CGTCATCAAAGTCAGGAACACAAACCTGATTCATGATTTGAAACAATATCACTCATTAGAACATGCAGAAACTAAGAAATCCATTTTCTTAAGATATTTATTTTGTTAAGGAAAAAATGACTGGAAAAGTGTAAACGTGAAGTGTTTGTCATGTTCTGACCATAAAGAGTCGTTTCAAACCACAGTTAATGGTCTGCTTTCTACGACTTTCACTTTAGGAGCAAAACTCTGGCTTTAAACTTAAAAGAAATAAACATTTGAAGTTTTATCGTGATCATTTTATTTTTTGGCCATATCGCCCAGCCCTACTCGCGACGGTTGAAAGTTGGCTGTTCTCAAATTTTGGTGTTTTGTTGACTTTGATGCCATAACCCAGTTCCAAGTTCCAGTCTCGAGTAAAATTAACTCGCATGTTTTTCTAACTCCTGACTCGGGCAGTGCAGCACAAAACCCTCGGTTATTCCCAGGCATGTTTTTTTTGGGAATGCAGCAGACACAGACATGCACACCACTTAACTTAAGGATGGAAATTCCTTTATGCACTCTGCAGACGTAACTACAAAAGTGCTCTCAGATGAGCAGTGTATGAAAACCTTCGGTGCAGGGAACACAGCAGACATGCTAAATGGGTTTAATGTTCTGTTTACATTTAACAGATCAGATTTCAGCCAAGAGTCAAACACGAAGTACACTCGACACTAGGCAAGCGCTAACTCATGTAGGTTTCATTATATTACCGAGTGATCTCATAGAGGAGATGATGATTTACTGTACCTTCCCCGTAAACCAAAGCCTTGCACAAATAGATTTAATGCAATATATGATTTAGCAGATTGATGAGCCTTTTGAGTAGTCAGGGCAATGCCTTCAAGCCAGTTTTCAACAAGTTAACCTATATTTATAAGGACATTTTCAAAACTTTGAGGCATGCACCGTGGTGTTAATCTGTCAGCTCACTTATTAGACTGCCTTTTTTTTTCTTTTGCTGAATGCAATCGAAAACCAGAATAAATGCAGAATAAATTTGAGTTGTTTCAGAGTGAAAACATTATTTTAAAAAGACGTAACGTGGTTAATAATTTTACATTAATAGCGTTTAGTTATTTTTTTATTACATTTAAAGACGACAAAAAAAGGATAAGGATAGTTCACCCAAAAATGAAACCATCAAACCTAAAGCATTTTCATTCATCTTCAAAACTCAAACGTGCTTCTATTACAATGGCTAAGTTGAATAGTATTCATAATTAGTTTGCATCATGTATGTTTTGTGTCATGTTTCACATTCAATTCTTTTCCAGATAATGTTTTTGCAATCAAATCCTGGGCAAAAAAGAAGTTCGGCTTTGAGAACAGCAACTTGGACAAAGCTTTCGGAATACCTGAGGACTTTGACTACATGAACTGATCAGAAACTCGCAGGATCTTAGGATTGTTTGATCTGTTTTTCTGTGATTCTCTTACATCGGTTTGTTTTATGTTTCGTTATCAGTTCTGTGTGTTCGAGACAAAGCTGGGACTTCTTTACATTGTGAGGAGTCTGCCACACCCTTGAAATTTTAGCCTTGTCTAGTCCAAGGAGAACTTCAAGATTGATTTGTCAGCATAGAAGGGTAAACAGAGGCGTGTAAGCGGAGAAGGTGTTGTGTTAACCCTTGAGCCTCTCAAGTCAATTCAAGGAAATTAATCACAGGTTAGAGACACGACGTGAAATTAATCGCTTGTGGGAAAAAAAAGTTCTATGACGAGCATGCATTTGTTTCTGTATAAAGTAGGAATGTGTTATGGATTTGAAGTCACTTCAGATGCTTTAATTTTTGGTTTGCATTTTTCATTAGTCATCATTTTTCACTGTGCACATATCTTTGTGTATCTTGTAAATATGAAAAATGGTCAGTTGCTTTGTTATATGATTTAATAAATGTAGTTATCAAGCAAATTGGTTGTGGTTAAGCATTTTGTCCTGCCTAATAATCCACTTAAACATTAAAACATACCTTTAATTCATTTTTTTAGCAATAGCTTGTTGAAAATAAATAATGCTTGTGTTTGCTGCAACACAGTAATGTTGAGGTACAGTCTTAAAATATTATGGGTAGTTCCTAAATAAGTGTAATTATTATTTTTTTAATTAATCAATATAGCCATATATATATATTTATTTCTGTGCATTTCTGTTTCTTGTGAGAAATGCCTAAATACATGTACTGAGTTTTTTTTTTAGTTTTTTTTATATATATATATAATTTTTTTTTTTTTCCAGAATATAATTTGATATTAAAGGGTTCATTATTTAAAATAAGTTTTGCTAATCAATATTCGAGTATATTTAAATACAAAAATAAAGATTCTTAAAGATAGTCTTGAGTATTTGGCAGGTGTCGATCTGCACCATCGATGTAAAAAAAAAAGTATATATTTCTGTACACTTCTTGTGATAAATGCTTAAAAAACATGTACTTTTTTGAAATTGAAAACAGTTTAGATTATTATTATAGATTATTGTAGTTCATAGATTTTTAATGACAAAAATACAGGATATTTTAAGGGTTTATCTATTTTGATTTATTTGGGTATATTACCTAAACAGAGCGGGAGTATTATCTCTCCTCATATCCTGAGAACCAGAAAAAAAAAGTTTTGTGAATTTTGTTGATATTTATGTCATTACATAGGATAAGCATAAAAAAAAACAAATGGAGGGAAAACATTTTTGAAAAAAAGATATTTTATTCTATGTCCTTTGTAGAGGACGCCAGGACTGAGTTATTCAAAAAAGTAAATAGACGTGAAAAGACATTCATAGACAAAAACAATTATTTATTAATTCACCGATCAGTTTTTAGGTTTCAGGCTGTTTTTAACCAAACTTTATACAAAGATGATTCTCAGCTAACACAATGATCTGATATACTTTTTTACTTTATGCAATATGTGCGTAAAATGTCCATAAATTGATATTCCCATTCTATAATGCATCAATACATTGCATCTAATTTGCATATTAATGTGTTCTTGGGGCAAACCATAATGAAAAAAGAAGTGTAATAATGGAACATTTTCATAAGAATATCTCATATTTCATAGGAATGTTGATCTATAATTTCTTGTCCTGTTTCCCCAAAATGCCTGATTAATGTATAACGTATGAAATAACAACGTATGAAAATTATGCCCTGTTTTGTAACAAAAAGACATATTCCGATTTGCATCCCCATCACATTTTTCTGAGATGTTTATTTATTTTGTAAATTAGTCAGATTTAAATTAGAATTACAAAATAGTATCATATTTCCCTAAGAGTGCTACATTTGATAATTCTGTCAATATCAGTCATATTTAAAGAGCTCTGAGCAGGACATCCAGATTTAACACAGCGGTCTCAGAGAATTCACTAAAATATAAAGTCCTCTACAGAGGACAAAAGTCTTTAACGCTGTCGGGGTCCCAAAGAGGATAGACGCGACGCGACGCGACGCTGCGGTAATTGTCGCGCTGCAGAAGGCTCGTCTGCCTCTAGCGGGCGCACTTTCAGAAGGAGGCGCTGCCAGAGAGCAAGAGAAAGAAGCGAAGCCAGGGCGCTCAGCACAGCCAGCATGGCGAGCCAAAGGGACTTCACACACACAAAAACATGGATTAACGTCCTTCTGCGACTCCTACAGCTCTTCCTGCCGTACATTCAACACGGAGGAGCTCAGTTTCAAGGTGCGCGACAGACTCGTCTCATTTCTTCAGTCCAGGCGCTCGTGCGAAAATGTCGGAGGAACTGGCGAGGGCTGATTTGACAAGTACTCAAGTGCACTCGTTGTGCTAAAAGGGCACAATAATCACTGGATCTACCCGAAATCGGATCTATTGCATGCGGGTTTGTCTGCATAAGGAATTAGGTTTTGATTCGAATCTGAAGGAAGACGTAACGCTTTTTTTGGCCAGTTATTATTGGTTTAGTTCGATTTCCTGTGTCAATGCAATATGCTACAATGCTCATAAAGCTCCATACAGCTGTTATTCAGTGCAGTCTATGGGAGCCAAGCGTTATGCACATTTAAATGTGTTTCCAGATGCGTGCGTTTGGATTGTTGACACTGTGAGCTCGCGACTAAAATAACCTGTCCGTTCAATTTCACGCCTTTGTCATCCACGCCAACTCATCCGCTGCTGCAAACATATCAGTTCACGCATGCATCCCGAGATCAGAGATGATTCCCTGTGTTTTTGTCCAGAGACAGGGATTGATGTCTGGCGCATGTTGTTGTTGATCTGCTCGCATGATTTGTTTTCTACATGCTCATGCCATTCTTTCCTCTTGAAGCTCTGACTCAGATGTCCGGCGTGGTTGAAGTTTGGCAGGCTGAGGACGCAGATTTCTTCATGCCATCGCAGGTATGTGAGCTGGTCAAACACAAAGACGTCATGCACTGGACGCGTTTTTATTGCAGCGCAACTTCACTGAGCACGTTTGCGTTTACGCATTTACGCGCGAGACGCTGTGTGGTGTGCTATTGTTGCATTTGCAAAGGGTGCGAAAATCAAAACAAGGCTTTAATTTGAGTATTATTTAGCATGCATTGATTTATGCAGTTCTTATATGGGCAGGGCGATTGTTTATTTAGCTTGGTGAAATGCGTTTCATGTGGAGGCGGGACTCCGGAGTCATGAATGGACCTGGTCTCTTCACACTTTTTAGTCATTACTTCCTTATATGTTTCGAGGTTTGTTCTTCTCTTTAAAATGCCTTTTAGCATCTTTAAAAAATAGTTTTGGAAAGGGTTTAGCGGGAATTCTTAAAGGCACATTTCGCTCACAAAAATGTCTTCCTCAGTAAATATGTAAACAATCTTAAATCAAGATACATTTACTTGAAGCAGAATAATTTAAAGGGGTCATATGATGCGATTTCAAGTTTTCCTTTCTCTTTGGAGTGTTACAAGCTGATTGTGCATAGATAAGATCCCTGAAGTTGCAAAGACTAAAGTCTCAAAACCAAAGAGATATTCTTTATCAAAGTGAAGACTCTGCCACGCCCCCCTAAAACGGCTCATTCTAACACGCCCCCACATATCTACCCCACTATGTGGAAATATTTGCATAATCCCGCCGCAAATGTGCACGCAAAATAATGTGTTTCTTGAACATTAAAGCATGTCAACATATTCTGTTACACCAAATACACAAAATAATGATCTTTAAAATAGCATCATATGACCCCTTTAAAACACGAAAAAAAAAATTTGCCAGTGGGGTATGAAAAATAATCTTAATTTAAAGGCAAAACAAGATTATTTTTCGTGCACCATTGGCAAATCTTTTTTTCGTGTTTTAAGCAAAAACTAACAACATTTTGATAACGTCGTCTTTTAGTTTTTGGTTGAACTGTCACTTTAAGTTGAGTTAGTACCTGATGTCTGTGCTGTTGCATTGTCATGACCTTTGTTTGACCTCATGGAATGTTATATTTAAAGTTTTGTGTTAATTAGTCTAATTACAAGCCATATGTGAGTTTGAGACAGGTTTATTATAGTTAATAAAAGCTAAAACTATAAACATTTTTTTTTACTTGAAATAAAAGTTAACTGAAAGAAATTTGTTTTTAAACTTAATAGTAATAATAATAATAAATTAAAATTAAAATAGTAAGCATGTTTAATGCCACATTAAAATATCATACCAAAATTGAATTATTGCTGACTCATTTAATCCTTTAAAAAAATAATAATAACAATAATAATAATTTATTTATACGTATTTTAACTTATTTTAGTTTTAGTTATATTTAGTTTATCTTGATGTACTAAATAAAGCTGTAATAACATTAGACATAATAAAAAAAAAAAAAGCTACATTGATTTATAATATGAAAACTGAAATTATAAAAATTAATTCAAATATTAATAATAGCTAAATGGCACTAAAATAACACTGGTTTGAGGCCCGTTCTTCAGATTGTGGTTATATGTTTGCTGTGGTGATGCTATAATAGCCAGTGGCCTGGGATTGAACATCAGTGCAAAAACACATTAGAATATAAGAGCTTTATTGCCAAGTATGATCTCACACGCAAGGACTCAGTCTTTACTAGAAGATGCTTCCAGTCCTCAGAGTTATGATAATATAATAATTAATCACCGAATAATGAAATAACATTCATAGAAGAACACTTGACATCATAACATTTACACAAGGGTTGCTATGCAGACAAGGTGATGTATAGGTTAGTATGATTAAATATTAATTGAATGAACAATTGGCTTTTGAACCCAACACCTGGCACAGTTAGAAAGGTGTGCTTTTTTGTGGTAGTGGATGTATTTGTTGGTTACGATCAGGTTCACGAGACTGATTAAAGTTTGGGGCAGGAAGCTAAGTATTTATATGTAGTAAGCTTGATTTATGCCACATGGAAATGTCAGACTGAAACTGAAAAAAAAAACAAAAAGATGAAATACAGTATGGGAACTGACTATTACTCCTTTAAAAACACACCATCAGATCTGAGTAGGGTTTTTTCTTCTAGTCAGCATCAGGGGAATATTTCAGTGACCTTGCTGTTAAATGCACTGCTGTGGTTCATTACATTACTGCAAAGTTACAGTACAGTGAAGTCATACATTTCTTTACAGTGTGACTGAATCATTCTAAAGTTTAATTATAGGGCTTATTTATTTACCCTAGGCTCTGTATCAGCTGAATGTTAATAAAATAATATAAATAAAATAATAATCTTGTTCTAAAATATCGTTGGGCTGTTTTTGTTTGAGTATATGTGCTTTATTTTAGTTTTCAAAGAAGTTGTATTTAGATTTAGTTATACCTTGGCAAACCTATTCGCGTATGTAGCCTATGCTATCCATTATGTGCAAAAAAGGGGTTCACATTACATTCTAACATTGTAACATTACAATTTAAAATTGTAACA